AAAACATGGTGGAGTGAAAGGATGTGCGCCAAATAGAACATAAATGTGCTCTGCCCATTTAAAAAAAACGGATACCAGACAGTCTGCAGCAATTACCGTGGTATAAAGTAAAGCCTCAATAAGGCAGATAATGTTTTATTGACTGTTTTGTATTAAAAATCAAAGGCCACCGTCAACAAACTGATTGGACCATGTGCCTCTTTTTGATTCTAGAGCGCCTTGGACAGCACGAAAGGAACCACCTCCACGCGGCTATGTCTGAATTCGGTATGCCTGAAAATTCTATACGGCTATGTAAGCTGACGTTTACTAAACCAAAAACTTCGCCAGGGTCGAAAGGAACCTTTATGAGCTGTCAAATACTCAAAGAAGTTTCCGACAAAGTTTCTACTTATCGTGCGAATTTTTAACCTTATTTCGGGAGAAAACAATACGAACTGCAGAGCTGAATAGAGAAGGTACAATCTTCTATAAGAGTACACAGCTGTTGTCGTACGCCAATGATATTGACATTATCGGCATCAACAACCCCGCCGTGAGTTTTACTGTCCCCAGACTGAATAAAGAACTGAAGGACCTGTTATTTAACGAAGGTAAGACGAAATATCTCCAGTCATTAATCGAAAAGTCATAGCATTTAGGACGCATGTCATTGCTAAAAACAAAACTTTGAAGCCGTAGTTAATTTCGCCTAAATAAGAAACAACTCTAACATCAACAATAATGTCAGCTCTGAAATCCAACGCAGAATCAACCCAGCTAGTTGACGATACTTTGTACTGTACACTCAATTAAGAGAAAAAGAAAGAGAAATAATTTCCATCCTACTTTAAAGCAAAAAAGCATAATCTAATTAGTGAGTACTAGAAACTTTTTAGAAAAAGGTTTTGTAGAAGATAGAACTTATGTAGGAGTTTTATGGGGCTATGACAGTTTATTGATGCCTTGTATCTGCTCAAGTGATTAACTACCAAAGTCTTTCTCCAATTTGTAGTGCGTGTCTTGATATGTTTTCCAATAAATGAGGACGTACAGTTTATACAAAGCAACCTGTAAGGGGCTTTCTTTTTTGATTAGCCGTTGGCATTGATGGTCCAAATGTTGAGACCAACTTTGAAAATATTCAATGTAATAACAGCAAGGGGAAGCAGCCTAGGTCAATCATTAAGAAAAACAATTACTGTAATTTAAGTCACAAGAAATATATATATTTTTTATGAAAATACACTAAAGCAAAGTTTATTTGAAGTAAAATATAAAATTATTTTAATTATCAATCTGTTATTGAATTCGTATGCGCTTCCAAACCACGGTACCACAATCACTGGGCTGTAACGTTGGCCGTTTTAAAGAAAATAAGAATTAAGTAGAAATAAATTCTGGCAATCATCCAGCAATGAGAAAGGGTAAAGAACAGAAATAAGCTGAAAATCAACGACCATCTTAACGCCAGCAAACGTGCAACGTTGTAGCAATGCATCAAGTTTGTTGCCTTGCTTGCTGGCAACACCACTATTCCACCAACTCTGCTGCACTGCTGTTGCTGATGCTGCTGACGAAAATGTGCTACATCGTCAAGGATAATACAATCTTCGACGGCAATCTTTCAAAGCCAACAGCCAGTAATGCAACTTATTTTTATTTGCTATATACTTCTTCTTCTTCTTTCGTGCTATTTTCAAATTCTCTTTTTTTTTCGTCTTTTCAATTTTTATCTTTGCACTTTTGGTTGCACTCCAGCGCATTCTGAGGCGCGGCTTAATGGGAATTTTCTTGGGAGCAATTACGGGCGAACAATTTTTGGTTTTTTTCTTGTGCTCTTATTCCGAAGTTTTTTTCTTGTTCTTGTAATGCATGCTGTTGCATCACCGACGTTTATTTGCGGTCGAATGAAGTGAAGCGCGTAATTAAAAATTAATTTCACTGATTTGACGGATTTATATTTTATTACGATATTATTTGCAATATCTTAACAAAGTAATGAACCAACGTTGTCGAGAGCACGCTGCACAGGCAGAGTAATTTGTTGTAGACTTTTGGCAAGGTTGCAAAATGAACAATAATTGCCAGAGAGAGCTTGTCCTTCTAAGGCAAACTGCAGTTATTTGATTAATTAAAATCGAGTTGATTTTTAGCGATTTCAGGACTTTTTTATTATTTATTGCTGAAATTTGCAAAATTTAGTTCGTTCTAATGCAATTTGCATTTTCGCAATTTCGCTCAATTATTTATCTACTCATCAGCAACGACCTTCACACATATCTACAGCTCAATAAATATATACAAAAAGAAATATATTTATATTTATATATATATATAAGTAAATATATATATACAGACATACAAATATATCTACTTATTGTATTGTCATTATTAATGTCAATTATATGCGAAATTCCGTGCTGTCGTCATGGTAATGAACATAACCTTGACTAATAACCTCAGTAGCATTGGGTTAGAAGTGCGTAATAATATGTGGTAGGTTACGATTTCGAGCCCAGACTCTACCAGTATCAACAATTATAGAAAATTTATTTAACAAAATGTAATTGCTGTGGCCCCTCGGCAGGGAATGTCAACCCATCCTTGTGTATTTCGAATATGAAATAAAATCTCTTCAAAAAAGCTATTTGGAGGCGGTTAAATCTCAAACTAAAGGTCTCTCAAAAATTGAAGAAGGAGCTCGGCCGAAAACCGCTTCAATGGTTATAAAGCAGCAGTTATATAAATAAAATGTTGTTGCTTTTGCTGTTGTTAGGTAATTTGCATTTTTAGAGAATTTCGCTCATTATTTTTGCTAATACAATGAATACTTAACTATTCCGGCATTCACTAATTTCACGCATTTCAACAGACCTGATTCCATTATTAATTTTTATTCGTTGACATCTGCAGAGAGTCGTGTGAATAAGCACAATATTGTAAAATACATTATAATTGCGTATCTAATTTAATTTAATTGTTGTGCATTAGATATTATATTAGTTAAGTATACATACGAGTACCCAAGGTTAGGAGAAAGGTGAAAATGTGCTTTTTAACAGGCTGTTTAGTTTCAATTATTGAATAATTTGTAATTATTTTATTTAAAACTTTTTTCAGACCTTAGAGTTCAAAAAAAAGTTTTTCAACTGTTATTAATTTCGAAATTAATTTTTCAATGAGTGTTTATGAGTGCATACATATGTATGAGTTTATATGTACATATAATAGCATTTTAATTAGTATGAAAGATTTATGCAAAACAATTGTTGAAAGTCCATTATTTATGTGTGTCAGGAAAAGTTTTGCCAAAAAAATGTTTTTTTTTCTAAACGAAAATATCTAAAATTATTTTTTATACCTAAATGAATTAAATTTCATCAATTTTATTTATTTATTTTTATTTTATTTTGTTTGAATTTATTTCTTATTTTTAATTTCGTTTCATTTTGCTTCACTTACTACATTTCATTTTATTTTATTTAAGTACATTTTCCTCTTTTTATTTCTTTTACTTTCTTTTGTTAAATTTTAATAACTTTTATTTTAATTTTATATGATTTATTAAACTTAATTTAATTAATATTAATTTTATTTAATTAAACTTTATATTTAATTTAAATTATTTTTTTTTATAAAATTTTTATTTTTATTTATTTAAATTTATTTTACTTACGTTAAATAAACTTTATTTTACTTTATTACTATTTATTTTATTTCATTTTATTTTATTGCATTTTATTTTATTTTAATCTAATTATATTTTTTAATTTACTTTATTTAATTTTATTTCCTTTATTTCATTTCTTTTTATTAATTTTTTATTTTATCTTATTTAAATTTATAAATAAATTTTATTTACTTTAATTTGTTTTAATAAACTTAACTAAATTTGATTGAATATATTTTTATTTAATTAAAGCTATTTTAAAATTATTTTATATATCTTGATTTTATTAAATTCCTTCCATTTTACTTTGGATATTTTAATTTTTTTATTTTTATTTGTTTAATATATATCTGTGCTATTTAATTTGACTTTATTTTCTTTTGTTATATTTTAATTAACTTTATTACAATAATTTTATTTTATTTTGATGCGTTTTATTTTAATTTAGTTTTTTTTTGTTTAATTTTACTTTATTAAATTTTTTCTTTTTTTAAATTTATCTTATTTTACTTTACTTCAATTTGTTGTATTATATTATAATAGGCCAAGTAAAAAGTTCGTGTTATGTTTGTCTAAAAGGTAGTACTCAAGTGTCACGTGTCGCATCATGTCATACAATACGCCGCTGAAAACGTATTCATCCGCGCTAAAAGTTTGTCTTTGACAGTTTGTTTCTGTTTTATTTTATTTTATTTTATTTTATTTTATTTTATTTTATTTTATTTTATTTTATTTTATTTTATTTTATTTTATTTTATTTTATTTATTTTTTTAATTTTATTTTATTTTATTTTATTTTTTTCTTCGTATATATCAATTTATTTTAATTTGTTTTAAAAATTTTTATTTTATTTATTTTTTTTTAATTTGTTAAATTTTATTTTAGTTTATTTTACTTATTTTGTTTTAATTTGTCTTATTAATTTAAATTTAAGTGCATATTAATTTATTTTATTTTATTTATTTAAAACTTGTTTTGTTTTATTTTACATTATATTTGTTTATTTTTTCATTTTATTATTATTATAATTTTTTTTCAATATTCAGTTTTAAAAATCAGTCGTCCCCAATTCTATTTGATTTGAATTTTATTTATAATTAGAATTTAATCTTCTTTGTGGCAATGAAAATTTAGAGAATTTTATTTAATAATGTTATTTTATTGAATTATCATGAATCATTGTGCTTCTAGAAATATAAAAAGTAAAAGCAAATATGCTAATAAAATAAATGAATTGTATTAAAATATGTAGCTGAGCCAGTTCCATCCACTGATTTTTGGTTGACTTACACTAAGATAGGTAGATAGAGAGAAAGTATCCTGAAAGTCAGCTGTGTGTAACTGTTTTTACTTGCGAGCAGTCAACAAGTGACTAATGCGTGTTTTCTTTTGTGGCGGGTAATAATATTTCTCCTCACAGTCGTTATCAGAGTTTTTGTTATGCGATTTTAAAGCACTGCCGTTTAATTCTGGTAATCCTGCAGCACTAGAAGAAGCTGAAGCTGGTTGACAGGATCCAATCCCATCTTTATTCAATTTGATGGAGTTTGTTAATGGTGCACGAGTCGGGTCAGTTGACATTGCGTTTTCTGGTAGTACTACAGCACCCGAGGAAGCTGAAGTTGTTATTAGATTCGGTCTAATGGAATCTTTTCTTGAGCATTGAATTGAGATATGCGTATTTCGGTGTTTTGGCACTGGTTCGTAGTGTTGCTTTTCAAATTTCAACTTGCGCTTAGGAGACAGACCCTGATTTGTATTCATTTCTTTGATTGAGCTGGACAATGGTGGACGAATCTGCTCAGTGGATATTATGTTTTCTTTGATGATTTGCGTTGGATTCAAAATCTGTTGTTTGCGCCGCTTCATTTGCTCGCGCTCCAACTCAGTATAATGTGGCCAGTCATCTTTCACGTCATACCACACATTTCGCCGTAAGTTGTACACGTTGTCTCGAAGCAAGGCGGTGGCTAGGAGGAAATTCGGTATTAAATCCCTTGCGGAATCTGGTAAACCGTCTGTTTTAAGGCGCGCAAACAGCTCAGCCAGCCCGAAAGGTTTTGTTGCAAGTAAATGGATAAGCTTTTCACGAATTTCGTATCGCTCCTCTTCAGATAACTTCTCCACAATAACTGGTTTCAATGCAACATAACTGGTTTTGACCATACCTCGATTCGCTCTCTTGTAGAGTGCAGCGGACGTTGCTGGATTAAGCCGGTCTGACGATGATGGTTGCATCCTCTGCATCTGATGTGCGAAATGCATTTTAGATGAATTCATTTCTCTTTCTAAGAATTTATTATACTACGCTTTTGGCTTATGGTTCTTACGAACAGCGAAAATATTATCAAATGAAAGTATAATTCTTGTAGTTGTGTGACTGTTTTTTATTTAACCGTCCTTATGTTACCGCAAATTGTCAGTTAATATTTTGGTTTACTAAGCCTCCTCGGAGTTTAGCTCAAGACTGTGACAGCCAAACAAATGTTTGTGGCTTTTATAGTATTTTTCAAATATTTGCATGAACTCGAAGATTTGGTCACGCTCCTAAATAATCTGTTAATGTATGTATGTATGTCTGCGGTATTTTACTCATGGTTACGCGCTCTTTGTTTCCTAGAAAATCCTGAAGGGTAAGCGTGTGTGCGGTTTTCTGCCTGCATGCATGCACGTACATGACGCAAATCTAGCAATTCTCTCTCTTTGTTTTATACCTAACTTAAATTATGAGTTTTGAAACAACCTTCAAGAAAAGAAAAATTCAATTGTTTTAACTAAATCACTTCTGAGAATCATATTTATTTTAATTTTTCTGCCACTGACCCTTTTTCTTAAATAAATAAACACTTAGCAACAATTTTTTCGTATACGACCTCATAAAAATGAACAAAAGCCATAACAATTTTTAAAAGACCATATTAAATTGAATATTATTTTTGTATTTTGCGCTGGAAATTTTTTTCAACTAAATTTCATTGCTTAAATATTTTTAATAAATTTTTTTCTCAAAGAACACATTGTTTCAAATTTAGCGTGTGATTACTCAAATTTGATTACCATTAAAGAGATTAAAAATTATATTTGGTATTGAAGCATTTTTATCAATTCAATTATTTGGTATTTCTAAGATGATTTATGTATTTGGATTGAATTTTTTTTTTTACAAAGCCATTCAGGGTCATGTAGTAGAATAGCATATGCGTATTTGGCACCATGTTTCTACTGACATGTTGTTGGTGTGCAAGTGGAACAGGCAATTAATCTGAGTTCTCTACTGAGAGTCAACAGGAATTAAAAAAATGGGTGGTCTTCCGAGTGGTGATACGCATTGTTAACAATTTTGCATTACAAAAAAAAAAGAGAAGTTAAATTATTAACAATTATTTACAAAGTCATAATAAAAAAAGCCGTTGTAAAAAAAGGTTAGGTATACTCTTTAAGAAAGTTGTTTTCATTTTCTTTATTGTTTATACTTTATATTAATTTTGTTCAATAGCATTTTTTATTTCTCTTTTTTATATAAAAAGCCAATCCCGTCTTTAAACATGAAAAGTGCATTCGAAAACAGTGCATTTAAGCACACATCACAGTGTTGTAAATTTTCAAATATAAATCATTCCTTACATGAATGTACATAGATATATTCGTGCTCAACTTTATTTACAATACTGATATGCGCAATTTTACAGATAATGTTTTATCAGGTGTAGTTTCAAGCGAGCAGCGAACGCCGTGCAGCAGAAGCAAAACAGCAGAAGCGAATTGACTACATCGTATTTTTGCGTATGTATGTTTGTGTATGTGGCAGGTAGCCAATAAAAAATTAACGCAATGAATTTTATTGTGTCGCACTATAACAACAAAAATCGCGTACACCATACCATCAATAACAACATCAACATCAAGTAATAGCTACAGGACCACGAATAGTCCGTGGCAACAGCGCGGAAGAATGAATTGCACAGACTGAATAGTTTGCTAGTGTTACCAAAGAGCAGAACTTTTAGTAAAAATATTGAAATGAAATCTATATGAAGATGATAGCAAAGAACATTTATTTGATGAAATAAAAATACGTTCATTGATGATAGGCATATAAATATGTATGTATATTCGGACTATTTCGAGGCTGTGAACTACTCCCTTTGAGCGTGAACGGGCCGAACGAACAAATTTTAAACTTTATGGGCTGTTATTGTAATAGATTTTATGTTGACCTCACTTAAGCCTAGGTGTGCACCAGATAACTGGATGATAACTGGAACGTTCTATTTTTTTCATTAGTATTTCAAAAATATTCATAAATCCAACCTCTGAGGTGGCAACACTATAATTATTAGCAAAAAAACAGCTATAAAAACAATACTATATACATATAAAACAGCAACAACAAATGCGACATGTAGTAAAACCGTGCTACAGACAGGAAAGTAAATACCACATGCAACGCATTAATTTGCGTTGGGTTACAACACTATCAACAACAACAACAAAAATCAACATTGACAACATTGCAAATGAGCCGAAGCAGTAAGGAAGCTGCTATGGCCTGTAAAGCGGACAAGCGAACACCCCATTCTTCTATGGTGAACCAACCTGCTTCGCAACGGCAAAAGTCAAAACGCCAGCGCTCTGATCCACATTACATTGCGGTTGATATATGTATGTATGTGCTGCATATATGGATGCTCCTCCGCAAATAAATGCATGTGTATTTAATAATGTAAATATGTATGTGTAATCGATGTATATCTGGTCATGAGTGTGAAGATATATGTACAGGTATGTTGTGCTTTGCCTGAAATTACAGGCTCCATATTCTGCGAGTGGCATTGGCAAATTATGGAAATTGCATTCAATTTGTTTAGTGTCAGTGGGCGATGCTTAAATTTTACGCTTATTACACAAGCATACGGATGCGAAGAACATACACACATACAAACATACATTATATATATGAGCATATGAATGTATACTTTGCATTACACGCTTGCATGATTTTCTCTTCTACCGCCACTAAATCATAGAAACTAAAACTGAGGGACACACGCGAAATGTTGGTTCAAACATAGACTCTTAGGGATCTGTATTTAGGCTCTGAAAAAACAAAATACCTAAATGTCTGTTCATCATAATTGGCATCAGTTAGGTACCAGAATGAATTTATTTTCCTTGGCTTCAGCACTAACTCCAAAGATCTCTATATAATTCAAGAATTAACCTTGATCTACTTTAATTATGAGCTGTGCGAGTAAAATATATTATCTCACATCTTTGTGATCAGACAAATGTAGAATTCGCACTACAATGAAGTCATTCGCAATTTCATGGTTTGAGAGATTTGCGAGAAGCTGAACTGTTTATTCAATTCCTCTAAATAAAAAGCTTCAATTTTCAGCCGGGAACGTGGGGGTCAATGATCGTTTGACTTCTAAAGTTTCTGAAATAATGGTTTACAGTAGTGTTCATATTTATAGGGAAGTCAGATATTAAAAAACAAAATCGATGGATGATATCGCTCCAAATTTAGATACTGATACCAAAAACAATGATATTTACGGTATACTTCTTCGAAAGTGGAGACACAGCATGCATCAGATAAAGCTTTTCTGGAATAGGATACAGATAGAGTAATATCATTAAATCATGGACAACTTCCAAGCACACCGAGCCAGATTATTTACTGTAGAGATGTCGGCATGGGTCACGGATCGAATACGTCAAATCTTCGATCCATGGTATCAAGACGAGCACCAACAAAAACTTCAGAACTGTTAAAAACTAGATTAGTTTTTTAAAGTAAGGAGTATTTCCAGATTCCATGATATTCATTTGTTTACCCACTTGTTAAGTGAAGAGCGAGTTACGTAGACAGAGATCCAAATTCTGAATCGCTGCTTTTGCGGTTGTAAGGCGAGATATCAGCGCTTCACGGCAGCCCTGCTCCTTACATTAACTTTATATACATCGAGTAATCATACCAAATACTGAAATTAGATGGTAGTGTAACGGCTGAAAGCCTACTGTCCAACATATATTAAATTTTTCTCTCACGCACACACACACTATATCAAACAAAAAAGAAAAATTGCAACTCATTTTCTCCATCAACTTACTTGCTCTACCACCTTGTGTGTTCACACATTTCGATCGAAAAATGCGAATAATCCATGGATGCGTAAAACATGCACTACACGTCGGCAATGGAGAAGTCCAAAACTAGCCTCAGCATTTAAAAAAAATGGTTCAATCAACTTTGCGATATCCAAGGGCTGAACCACACACTGATCACATCTACATAATATCTGAGTACTCCATGGAGTGCCAAAAGTAAATAAGTTTTGAAACTAATCCAAAATGTTACTTCATGGAATACTTATAGATCATGTAGATTAAGTAACTATGAAAAATTACATTTAAACTTATTATATTTGTTTTTCGAATATTATAGTTTTCAAAACTTATTAAAATATTATATATGCACGTCTTTAATGCAGATCAGTGCTCATCAACGATACGAAATTAATCCGATTTCAGTATCAAATATTTTCTACTTATGTACAAATATAAATCTGCTTATGATGGTTAAAACACGAGCCATCATCGACTAACAGCAAGCGGCTTTCACTTCGTGAATTGTTCCAAAACTGCACTACAGAAGAATAGTTATTGGCTCACTTCAATCGACTATGTGGTACACAAATGTTTGCAAGGTTTGATCGCATAATTTTAGCTGCGTAATTTGTTGTAGCAGCCAGTGCAACATCTAATCAGTATCGACATGTGCCACTGCCGGTAGCTGCGTGTATATCGTGTGCGAGGGAAATATTTTTTTTTTTTTCAAAATTATCAAAATTTTTAGGGGAAGTGCACGCGTATGCAGCGGAACATTACAAGTTTAAAATTACAATTTATGAGCAGGTATTTGTGTGTGTGAGCTTGTGTGCGTATTGATATTGGTAAAATAGAATTTCATTTGCTGCAGGAAACGGAAACTCTAACCCCAACATGCTGTAACATTCACACGAAGTCAATGGCTTTTCATAATTAGGGCACATTTTTGTCTTTTTTTTAAGGGTCTTCGCAAACAGAGGCAGTTACTTAGTGGTTGCGTTAAAGTCCTAATTTTATGGATTGTATTTTTATATTATGTACCTAAAGCATTATCAATGGCTAATATTAAAAAAATTACATTCACATATTAGACATTAGTGATAAAAATTGTTTAGAAAATACAGAATTATGAAAAGTTTGCTAAAAATTTC